TTGCCTGCTTGTATGAAACTGGGACACAGTCGCCCTATGAGCAGATCTCCTTCAGCATGTTCACGCTGTATGATGTGCTCCAGAACATCCCCTTGACATCCACGGTGTTGGGGCGGGACAATGTCCCACTGAGCCACAGGAAGAAGAAGGGAAGGAGCTGCCTTGTCTCCTAGAGCCTCCCTGCAGCAAAACCCCATCTCCAAAGCCAGGCTGGCCAAGGGAGGCTGCAAGGTGAAAGAGCTAGACTGCCAAGCCTCCTTATTCAACTTGGGTCCAGTGGTGCCAAGGGCCGGACCCTCAACTGGTGCAAGCAGGAAGGGCCCCATGAAACTGTTCGTTGTGCTGATTTAGACCAGTTAAGGATTTGGCTTGCTGCAAGCGAGCACAGCTGGATCGAACTGAAGGTAGACATTACTATACCCAAATAGGATTTTATCAGACCTTTTTTAATGTTTTTTTATTTTTTTTAATTAAGTGGTATGTTGGGCTTGGAGACTTGTATCACTTCCCCAGCCAAAGGCCTTCTTTCTGAGCGTGCGTTGCCTCATGTAACTACAACCACCAATGCCTTCAGCTCACCTTACTGAACTGTTGCCATGTGATAAAGGCCAGAGGCTCGCATCTACCACAGAGGGACCAGGAAGAGACAGAGCTGAGCTGGGAGAGGGCCCCAGAGAGCAGGCTTGCCCAATATCACTATCAGTAAGGATACCACTGTACTTTGGGCCTTTCTCCAGCACTAAAGTGAAGTTGAGGAAAACCCCAAATGCTAGTTTTTAATGGGGACTCTGTGACAGCAGCACCTCAGGAATCTCCCCCATTTTCAACTAGCTCCCAAAGGTGCATGTCACACCCCTCCATCTGACTCTGCAGGCGATGAGGCAGGGCTGGTGCCACAAAGCTGGGTGTCCCTGGGGGTTGCCTGCATGCCGGCACAGTGCTGGCCGCATGCCCCAAGCCCTCCCAGACCTGCAGCAGGGGCTGTGGCCTGGCTGGGGGGGGGGATCCTCAGCCCTAGCAGAGGTGGGAGCTGACCATTTTCCCTGCCTGGAGGGGACTCTTGGCAGCAGGACACTCCGCCCCAGCCATGGGCCACCCATGCTCAGCAGAAGTGCAAGCTGACAGACCTACTGAAAAACTAGCAAGTGAACAAAAGGCCGTTTTGTAAGTGGGAAGGAAATGCCTGGCTGTGAAGTAGCAGGTGGCTGCTGATGCCATGAGGCCTGGAGCAGATACAGTTATTATTAGCTTATTATCCCTTTTCCCATGTCTTGGCCCTGCTTCTCTTTGTCCTTGTACCTCCTTTTTTCCAGTCAGCCTCCCTCCAAATAAACAACCAACCCCTAATGACTTTTTCCGTATTGATTCCAGTTTTAGGTCCATCTCCAAAATTGCTATTTCTGATACCATTACCTAGATCTCATCTTTACCTGGCATTACAGATACAGTTCCCTAGCTGCTGGTGGCCTTGCAAGATTGTACCCCCCTCAAAGGTCCCTAGTGCTCCCCTCCATCCATGCAGCTTGGCCATCTCTCACATCACTGCCTAGGATATCCAGCCATCCTTCATGGCATTATCTGTAACTTTTGTCATTTGTCATTTGTCATATCTGGCAGTTTTTCTGTCATGCCTAGTAGTTTTCCATGTCCTGTTGATTTATCTTCATCCCAAAGCCTGCTTAATGGCTTAATCATTTGCCTGTGGCAGGGGCAGTGTCCAGCCCTGCTCATGTCTTTGTTGGGTAAAACAGGGAGGCAGTAGCTGGAAACAAGCAGAGGGGAAGAGAGGGCAGATTCATGGCTGTCCTGAGCTGCTGGAGCGTCAGGTTTGCACTGGGTAGACTGCCGTTTGCCTGAAGTCTTACCTGCAACCACAGCTTTTCATCATATGGTGCTATGGGCCAGTTTCTCAAAGATGAAACTCTTATTTTAAAGACCCAGGTAGAGCAGAGCAACATGTAGTTGTTGGCCTCTGCTCCAATGCCAGCCTTGAGCTCCTCAGGTGAAGCACTAGCACTTAGCAGGAGAGGTGTGCTACAGTGAAATGAATTGCCATCGCCTTGCAAGAGGGCAAGAAGAGCCTGGGCCCAGGAAGCATGTACAATGAAAATGATGTTAATAAAACTGATTTAATCAATTTTTCCCTAAGGTGATCCTGCAGCTCTGGAACTGCTTTAGATTCAGGAACAGCATTTTACAGTAGAAGGAATGTACCAGAGAAAAACCCTGCTTGTGGCTCCAGGCACACCAAGTCTCAGGATGTACCCTCTAAGAAGGAGGCTTTGCAAACTGAGCAGCAGGACGGTGAAATTAATTTTCTTCTCCATAACAAAGGCACCATTCATAACCTCGGGGGCAAGGGGAGGGGGCAATCTTTGCACTGACCTGGAAATAGAAAAAGGTGCTCAAAGGGGACAAAGTAGTTGCTGTACTGCTCTTGGTCATGGCATGGGGTAAGGGTAACTGCAGTGTGAGCCGAGGGAAGGGGGCAAGGACGTCTCCTGGCAAGAGCTCCTTCTCCCCATCAACAGACACTGCCAGCAAGAAAGTTTCAAAACTAGGTGCTTTGCGCAGGGAAAAAAACCGCTCAACTTGCATTACGAAGGCAGTGTATTACTTTGCTAAGGACACATAATTAACTAGCAATCAATGAACTACACATTAGGGTCCATATTAGCAGTACAGCAGATAAACCACAATACTAGGCACTTACTTACAAAGCGGTCCTGAAAACCACGGGGCCGTTTCTGGCCATGTCACACCTGGCTTGACTGCTGCTCCATTCCCACTTCTGCCCTCGAGGGCTCTGCTCCCACAGCAATAAATACTTATGCTCCTGTTTTTATTCTTTTCAAGCTGACTCCTCCTTTTCTCAAAAGTCTCTTGGCAATCTCCTGGTTATCACTTAATCCGGTTGACAGCTGTTTTAAGCTTGCTCCATCATTGCTACTTTCTTCTTAATTTCATCAGTTTCTGGGCAAAAATCCTGTCTGCACAGGCAGTTTTGAGCTGTCTGATCACAGGCTATGTTTGCACGCATGTCCCTACCTGCTGCTCTTATCCAGACCGCAGTATCAACAATGGGTGTGGAGTCCCCCACAGTACCCACAGGCAGCACCCAAAAGAAGTTTAAAGTTTGGGTAGGGTTGAGGGCCAGCGGGGGTCTCTTGTCCTTGAGAAGCACAGGAGGAATAAGAACAGGTTTGTGCCTCCTGCTGCAGTCAAGGAAATGCTGGACACAACCTCAGAGCGTTCCCTCTTCTGGAGAGACAACAAACTTTTGACGACAGACAGGGCAGTTGTAGCCTCAGCCTTTCTCTTAGATGGCAATACTTTCCTTCTGCCCTCCCTCCCTGGTCAGTGGCAAAGGACATTGCTGTGTCCGACTCACCTATCTGCCAAATACTATGTCAACGCTCTGAAAGAGGAGCAGGAAATTTTGAAAACATCTTGTGGAGGTGTCAGAGGTGTGTTAGAAAAGCCCTGTTACCCAAAGCTAATGCCGTGCACCCAGTGGCCAAAGCAGTCTGCGAGGGTGGCCAAGTCCAGGCACTGAAAGGGCTGGGGAATTCATTGGCTCCTGCACCAGCTAGGATGAGCGGTGCTCCTTTGCCCCCTTGCCAAGCCAGCCAACAGAGAGGCTGAGCACAAATTCCTAGTATGCATGTGCGTGTGCACGCGCGCGCACACACACACACACACACACACACACACACACAGACACACACACACAGACACACACACACACACACACACACACGGAGAGAGAGAGAGATTGAGGGAGAGAGACAGGTACGACACACACAGATTAACAGACAGGAGGACAGTGCCTTTATAGGCATCCGCATCAGCAGAGACAGCACAAAAAGCTGACCCATTTTCTAAGGATGAGTCTTTTCATGGGTGTCTCTTAACATCCGGCTCCCAGACCTTTGGTCTCCAAAATTTCAGACCCTTGGTCTCACCGGTACCTAGCTCCCAAACCTTTCATCTCTCCAGGACCCAGCTCCTAGTCTTCTCAGTCTACCTGCTGGCCAGTCCAGCCTGATGCTTGCTACCAGAGCCCACATGTACAGAGAAATGAGAACACACTTGCACAGAAAATATGATTTAACAAGAGAACAGGACAGCCTTCAGTGATCAGGCACAGAGCTCAGTCACACAAGCACACCGTTCAGCAGTCTGCATACATGCCGCTGGCTCCTTTTTATCACTCCCCTGCCCTCCATTTTCCCACACTTGTTCCTCTCTAATCCACCTTGATCCCTTGGGTCTTCCCCTAAACATCACCCAACTAGCCCTATCCTATCCCAAAAGTGTTTTGTCCAGTCCCCACATTCCCTCTGCATCACATGCCCAATCATAAATCCTGTACCCCCTTGTGCAGTCATCCCCCTTAGCTTGCACAGTACCCTGGGCAGTGAGTTTCTTCTGTTGGGCCACCTGGGTGGGTTTTGCAACAGGGCCTCTGGCTTGATCGTTCACCTTTGATAGGCTGAAGAACAGCTGATCCAGAGGGATGATGTTGGCTGGGTTCCCCTGCCTGTACTCCTTCCCCAGTCACTACCTATTTATTCGAATGTCTATTAGCCAGATATTTTTATAGTCTCAGCTGCAGTTACACATGTATAGCCATGCTCCTGTTCAGTCAGCTTCTGATCGGTCACCACCAGGTGACTGCCCAGTGGGCTCTAGGCCTTGGGGGTGCTAGTTCTCACAGACCGCCACAAGGTGTGCATGCATGCATGTGTGCACATGCATTTTCGGGGCATACACCTGATGTCCAGCACCTTCTCGCCCAGCATGACTCCATCCAAGGCCCTCAGCATCCCCCTGGCTACACTGGGAGCTGCAGCCCACATTGGCACCTTTGGTTTCCTTTACCTCTCCCCAGCAGTGCTGCAATCCCTGGCCTGAGCTGTTCCACAGAGAAGATGAAAATACCAAAGCAAAATGCCCTAAATGCAAATTTATTAATGAAAATAAGTTAAGCCTCCATATATTATCTCTATAATCTCTGTGTCACATTTTGCAGTCAGATGTTACCCATGTTGTGCAAGTGGAACATGTAGGAAGATGAATAACAGTCAGAGAGCTTGCCACTTCCCAAGCTGTGTTACTTCCTCCCTACTCACAGCAAGCCAAGTTTGGAGTCGCACATCCCTTCCAGAGTGTCTTCTCCTTGTTCCATGACTCATGAGCCCATGAGGCTGATTTCCAAGGTCAGTTTGCTGCCAGTACCTGAATTAATTTGCTCCAAGTAGGAAAAAGAGGTAAAACCCAGGGAGAACTTACTGAGAGAATCCTTTGCATACCGAAGCCCCACAATGTGCCACACACACTGCTTTGATATTTAGTCCCTTCCAGGCTTAGGTGTTTGTCCTCCGTAGAAAAGGAGTTTGTCCTTCTTGCATTTGGCTCTAAAAGCAGTTAACTCCTCCAGGCTGATGTAAGCAGAAGACACAGACATTGTCCTCTCCCTGTGCAAACTGTACCTGTCCAAGCCCTCAGACAGACACTCGCACACAGGTTGCACTGGGGCAAGGCAATGCAAAAGAGAACACAACCATTCCTGCCACTTCAGGTCGTCCACAAGTGACTCGGTGGCAGTGACGCTGTTGAAACAGCATTATCAGCTCACTGACTCCTTTCCTTGTAGGGATCAACTACTGGCAATCTGAGACTGGTTTAGCCTTCAGTACCCGTGTAGCAGTATAAGACTTGGTGCTCCTCACAGCGAAGTAGTGCAACAGAAGTGTCAGGTGCAGTGAGTACCACCACACCAGTGAGCAAAAAGTAGTGGGTGATTTAGTCCCTTAAAACTTCTTTACAGTTACTTGTTTCCTAGAACAAAAGGTCCAGAAGGGCAAAGTGAGGTCAGCAAGGTGGTGCGAGCAGCCTGGACTCTGCATGGCCCAGGGCCTTTTGGATGTTCACAGCCGGACTAGCACAGACTTAAGCTCTCCCTGGGTTTACACCCTGGTTTAGACAAAGCCTGGTTTCCTCATACAGCTCTGCATTGTGGCACTTGCCATATTTCTGTCTCTCTGCCCTAGCACTTGCCACTGGCCAAGGAGCTCAGAGAGGATACTGGGGGGATAAGTCCTCCAGTATTGGTTCTTCATGCTGGGCAAGGAGTGGGGGGGTTGTATGTGAGGGCATCAGCCAAGACAATAATGAGCAGCGAGATACAGGATATGCCAATTTTCCAGTGGTGAGTGCTGTGTTCAAACCCAAGTTGCAACTCATAGCACCATAGAGTGACAGTGGGTCCACGTCCTGGCTCATGCTGCACAAACAAGGCTCATCCGGACACTTGCTTGCTCCTTCTCTCCTTCACCTACTGCCGCAACTTCAAATGAGGTAGCTTCATCACATCACCCTGACACGTCAGAGCAAAGAAAAGCAGCACATGGGAAACGATAGGAAATGAAATTACCTATTTCCCATCGCAAAAGCCACAGAGGCACCCAAAGCAGCCGTTGATGATCTGAAGAGAGGCCAGCACCATCTCAGCAGTGCTGACGAGCAGCAGGATGGAGAACAAGCAGACGTTCCAGGTTACGATGCCCGCAGGCTCCAGGCAGGTGCTCCAGAGACTCTGGTCATAGAGATAATTTTCAGTCTGTATGGAGATCCTGCACAGGATGGTTGGAGAAGGTCATCTGCAAAGGTTGTCTTAAACACTGGCTCTAGCTTTATTTCACTGTATTTGGCAAAAGCAGCTTTTGAAACTAGCCCGGAATCTCATCTAATCTGCCTTGCCATTTTGGAAGGACATTTTCAGAGTCTTGGAGGTGTACTGGAAACTTCCAGTCCTTCACTGAAGGTTGGTCACTTCATTTTTAACAAGGACTATTTTCTTCAAAATTGTCATAATCCATTTCAGTTAAATAGGTGACAAAAGTTGTCAAGCCATGCCACTGGCATTCTTGTACCCTTTGTTCAGTTTGCAATCTCACTAAAAGGGTAGCTTCATGTTACATTTTTGTCAGTCTCAGACCTATCTTGGGCATTTCCCATCTTTGGTCCCTCTTTCTCTCCATCATCCTCGCCGCTATGCTGATATCACTGGTCATAGTCAGCAGAGTGATTGGATGACAAATATCATTTTTAAAAAAATCTAAAAGATGGGGACATCTTAAGCTATGCTTGCCACTGAAACGAAATTAGGCTCTCCAGAGTTCACATTGTCTGAGTTAGAGAAATATTTCCCACTGTCTATGGAAAAAAACCCAAATCCTTCTGTGAGGAAAAGGCCACCTGCCTTAGCTGACTGCGAAAACATGAGAGGAAATAGGATCAGTGACTTTAATCTCTAAGAGATATTCATCCCAGACTGCAACTCCTCACGTGAGCCCATCGGTCCCACTGCCATAACCCTGATTTAGTTAGCAATAGGATCATTAGGTTTCCCCTATGCAAGGTGGAGACACTGAGATCACAGGATCAGGGCTGGTTTTATCGCAACAATTTAATTCCATCTGCATTACCTGGTGTCAAAAGTCTGGCTGTTCGGGTCCAAGAAGGGGTAACCCCAGCGAGGGCCGTGGCCATGCTCATGGACGGAGGTGTTGTACAGGCAGAGGGGCCCATTGGTCAGGCCCACCCCAGACATGATGAAGCAGGCAGCAGAGCCCAGCAGAGCCAGCTTCGATAGCACAACGGAGAGGAATGCCTGCAGGGCAAACACTCTGTAATACAAGCAGGGCCCAGCTCCCAATAAGTTTCTCAAGTCTACTCTGGAAGGCAAGAGCATCCGATGGGTAAGCTAGGTGGGGGCAGGTGGATGGAAATCCTAAAAATCAAAATGCTTGATCTACTGTTCTTAAACCGTCTGTTCTGTACTCTAATTTAGACAGGTGGATTTGAAAACACAGTTGAGGAAAGGGTAGGCTATGCGTTATCTGTGAAGTTTGCTTAAAGAACTAAGGGAGGAAAACTCCCCTTTCTACCAGAATTACACCCAAAGAGGCACAAGCCCCATGGATGTGAGGTTTAGTATAAACCAAAGGTGGTTTATTTAGAGAGTCCAACAAAAGTTGGCAGAGGACACAGCAAGGTGGGGAAACCTGCTAGTGAGAAGGCTGATGAGAAAAGGTTCACACAGGCCCTTATTCAATGCCCACACCCCTTTGCTTCTGGAGAGGTGCTGGCAGCTGCCGTAACCACTGGGGGCAAGACTGAACCAGAAGACTTGCTTAGTAAATACTGCACCAGGACTTGTGCCTACAGCCAGGCAGAAGGCGGCACAGGGAGCATGTGGGCACAGTTGCCCCATCCACACTGTGCTGCCAGACTCCTGTCTAAGAGCTTAAAGCCATCTGTGGGCATCTGGGGCACAGAGCTGCTATTTAATTTGCCTCAAACACACACTTCCAGCCTTCCCAACCCCAGTGCAGAACGTTTCTGTCCTCTCGACTTCCCAACGCAGGCAGCCATGTCAGCAGGCAACTCTCCTTGCTGTCTCCCCTCAAAGCATCTGGGACAGCTTTGGCACAGCATGGTCAGGTCGGCCATGCTAGCTGCTGGCGGAGCGGAGCCCTGCTTTGCCAGAGGGCTGGGGAAGGGGTCTGCAGGCTCGGGAGCCTGCTGCCCACTGTGCCGTGGCGCTGCCTTACGTTCCGACGGGTGCCGCAGTCGGAGCAGCTGGCGCATCGCCACCCCACAGCCGTGATATGAGTCGCTGCCAGCAGGACCTGCAAGAAGGAACAAGTGACTCAAAAATGAGCGGGACAGCCTGCTCTGGCCCTTCCTCCTCCATTTTGAAATTCAAGCCTTGCCCTCGCCTCGTGCAGTATGTGCTGTTACAGTCCCAGTGTAAAGGACATGGCTCTGCAGAGAGCTGGGGAAATACTCCTCTCATTTCATATCTGTCTGAAACAGCCCAGTGCTGGGGCATATCTTGCTACTGAGTCAAGGATTTTTGAGGCTTAACAGAGCAAATGAAGCAAAACCAACCCCATAGTGTGCCAATGTGGCCCACATTTGGGAGGGGGCCACCAACTCTGTCTTTGTGGAAGCACATAACCAGATGTTGTTCTTCACGGAAATTGAATGGGGAACCCAGTCCCATCACCAGGGCTTTGGCAGAAAGCCATACAAGTCATTTTGCCTTGAGCCACAAAGGTGTGTGGGTCCCTAGCTCCCCTGGCTTTGGGGCAGCACAAAGGTCCTGCTAGCCCAGCACACTGCACTGGCAGCAGCCAAATCCAGACAGCTGGGAAACAGCAAGGAAGTAGAGTTCCCAACACCTTTGAAAGGGATACACCGCATCAACAAGTGTCTGTATCTGGCAGCCACTGAAAGGATTCACTCCAATCTGCACATAAGTGAACAGGAGCATCCAAGAAAGACCAGGTACTTTAGCACAACTGTTGTTCCAAAAAACTTGTAAATCTGAGGTATGAATTCTCCCTTTTTTCCTGAAGGTTGGATAACGTCAGTCAACACTTCTTGGGCTCAGGGCAAGATGTCCTCCCTATTTTTTTGGAAGGAAACTGAGGCACAGAGTGATTTGTTGGCCTATCTGGGTAAGGAAACTCTGGGGCTAAGAATGGAAGCCAAGCCCTGGTGCATACTAAGCACTACACTAACTGGGTGGCAAGTCCCTTGGGTAAAGGGTCTCGAATACACACACATTCACACAGGGAACGTGAAAAACCACACTACTTACAGTTATTCCTCCTCCCCAGATGCCTGGCACCGCCTTAGCCTGCTTGGTGATGTGCCCATCTGCCAGATACTTCCATGCCCAGCCAGGGAAGAGGAGGAGGGCGTTGGCCACGATGGAGAGCGTGCCCAAGGTCAAGAGGCAGGGGCCCACAATCCGAGTACACTTCCCTACAAACATGGCCACCCCGCACGGGGGCAGGAGGAAAAAAGGAATGATCTGCCTGTGGCCCTCCAGCTGCGAGCACAGCCAGCCCGTGCCAGTCTTGTGGAGTGACCATGCACCCGTTTGCTTGCAGGCCTGGCCTCCCTGTTGCTCCCAAGCTTCGTGCACCATCTAGGGCTTGTTTCAAAACCGTGGGCAGACAGGAGTGTATTGGTTCTTGCCTCAGCTCGCTTTTAAATCCAGGCCTACCACACCGCAAATGTCTGGCGTTTTTAGCTCTGAGTGCATAAAGACTGACTCAGGAGGCACCAGAATTGGCATGGAAGTCCTAACAGTGAAAATGAAGATGCACTCAATGCATTTCCTTTCTGTTCCTCACCTTTCCCACTCACGCCTGCTCCAACATGGAGGAGCGGTTTATTTCCCCTTTGCCCCACATGGTTCATGGGCATTTTATGAACACCTTTTGGGCAATAATCTTCCAAGAAGACCAAGAGAGAGCAAGGGGAGAGGGGAACTGCCTTCTAACACCTGCCTGCTAACACCACCAGGGAAGTTGAGCTAACAGGAGCCAGTCCCCAGTATGGGTACTCAGGCACTGCCCTTATTTAAGAGTAATTTCAAATGGAAATGTTCTTTTCCCATACTGCACCAACCTCTCATGCATAGTTAAGAAAACATTCAAGGCAGCAAAAATAACCTCTTCATGCTCAACAGCCAGGGTTATTTCTCATTATGCAAAGACTTTTAAAAGCAAATAAGGAGATTGCTGAAGACAAAGCAGGGACATCAATAAAGTTTAAGGAAGATGCCATCTAAATAACGTTATGAAGAGACATCAATTCTCTGCATTAAATTATTGCTATTAAAGTCAATCAGTTGTTGTGGAATAGTGTTCTTAAGGTCGAGCTATTTTACTGTAGAAGTAGAAGGCCAACTTTAGACAAGGAGCACCCACGAGTATTTTGCTAAAAGGATGACATGGTTTAAGAAAAAGACAGATACCTGCATCTTACTGTCCTTCGTGAAATCTGCACAAACAGCAGAGAAAGGCAAGAAAAAAATACCAATAATTAGTGCAGCAAAGAACATAAAGTCAAAGCCACCTGAGATTTTTGGTGTCTTTAAGTATTTACAATGAACAAGAGGAAGTCAGAAAAGGAACAAGTTAATTGGACAAAGATCCCAGGGATAAGACTATCTCTTAGGCCATTTGTAAAAGGCCATCCATAGGTTAATGGGAGATAATGTTGTCACTACATTAATTAATAATCATAATGCAAGCTAGCAAGATAGCAGCACTCCATCTGATAGATCTCTATTTACTAGAAACACGACAAATGCTAAATGAATCAAACGGAAATTCTCTCCTAGCTGTGCAGTCGAAGGCACGTTTGTTAGAGGACTGGTCCTACTGTAGGTATGAATATAATGAAACTAATTAAAGTTAATTAAGAAAAGGTCACCATGTGTCTTTGGGCAAGATACTCAACTCTTCTACTATTTTAATAAGTTATCAGTTCACCTAGATGATCTTTAGCCAGCTCCATGTGATAAAATTAGCTACCGTACCTACAAAAGAGGGGGGTGTCCATAGGTAACTTTGGGACCACTTTAACTGACCTGTACTGCCATCTTGCTACTGCCTTGAATCCACTTGGCTTTATACTGCTTAATTGAGATGCAAAGCAAAAGGCCCAGAGTTAAACTAACAAGCAAACTTATTTGCCAGAACATACCACTTAAGGCAAGGTTATGCGGAAGATTCCCCAGTTTTCTTCTACCCTGGGCAGGTGACATTTGTTTTTGCCTCAGATTTTGTTGGCTTCTAGGTGGTTTCTAACCTATTTTGCACAAACACCGTGAATCCGAAGTTACTCCACATGTCGGCTAATTTATTTCAGAGTTGCTCTGGATTTAGAGGAACAGAAACTGCATGTTTGTTTCCTGGCTTCAGCTTCGTACCTTCCTATCCTATCGACCTTGGCTACAAGGAATTTAGGACCTCTCGCCCTTGCTGTGGTCTCATCCACAGTTCAGGGGTTGCCATTTTGGAAGACCTTCCAGAATAACTCTTGCTCCTCTGGAGCTCTTAGAGCAGGCTTCTCCCATCCTCTGCCAGGACTGCCCTCCTCCTGGGGGACCCTCCTCCCTTGCTCCATAGCCACAGGAAGCATGGAAATACCATAGAAATAACCAGCCAACCCCTCCAGCCACAGAGCAACCGCGATGCAGCAGAATGCAGTGCAGCTGCTTGGCTTCCTGGCTATCCAGAGAGTAAGATGTCCACAGGACCTCTGGAAGGCAGTAGGTCTCCTTCCATCAGGAAGCTTTCTTTAGCTTGCTGCCCTGCCAGCGCTCCCCTTGAACAAGGAGTAAGTTCTATACTAGATGATTTCTTCTACCTCAGCCACTAGAGACAGACAAAACTCCCTATAGAGGAAGAAAGAAGCTAAAGCAGAAGTGCAACTGCACCAGTCTCTGTGAGGGTGTTCAAACGAAAAAGACGCCTTTCCTCCCAGCATGCCTCCACAGCTAATTGAAAAGCAATAGGATTTAACTAAAACCCGAGGAATCTGTCCTGCTTTCCTGGCTTACCTGGGAGGAAGGAGAGGGAACAATGCAGGAGAAAGCTGGGTAGGCTGAGCTGGCAGCTGGCAGTGTCTCCCCAACAGACAGCCTCTCGGAGTGGCTTGCTGATTGTCCTCGGATAACATGCAGAGGCATCACCAATAGGTGGCTATTTATAATGTCCTAGCATGTGCTCCATGTCTTCCTCATCCACTCTGAGGTCCTGCTCATTCTCCACCCACTGCATCAGTCATATGCCTTGCCTCTCCCACACAATGGGGAGCCTGAAAGGAAGAATGACTGCATCTAATTTCCTTCTCTAAGCTGTCTCTCTGGGGGAACTAAGCAAAAAGGCAAATGAATGTAGAAGCTCAGGCAGAATGAGCAATATAGAACCTGCTCCCTAACCACGCCATGCCCCAGCAGGGGGAAAATATCAACTGAGTGACTTGCAAGAAAACACGAGTTATCTCCGTTCCTGAACGCCCTGTTCTCATAGCCAGGAAGCTGATACAATCCAGCATGGAGAATGAATCAAGTGGAGCCTAGTTGTCCTTGAGCAGTGGAGTCCGAGGTCAATTAACTGATGAGCCCTGAAGGACCAGGCGAGTACTGCTAAGACTATACATCCCGACCACAGCGGTGAGTGTCCCTCCAATTCAAGTGCCGGAGTTACTGCATTTATTGTTTGTCACTGAGACACTATTAAGCTTCACAAGCATCAAGCTCCTGTCGACAGAAAAAGAGCCCCAGTCTGCTGAGTGTGTCTCCTTCAGAAAAGGCATGTACTGTCTATATAAACGCAGGGAAACACACAATATTCTTGCAAGAAAACTTTGCACCTCGTGGAAGGTATTTTAATCTTTTGCTTGTTAAAGTTTAGGGAGAGCTGTTTCAAATCAGTATTTCACTGAACAAAATAACTTTACTTAGACATGAAGGAGGAAAGACCTCTTTAAATTTCTGTGAGTTGCAGTTCTAACAATCTGGAACTGCTAGCAAAACGCTACATCTTGAAACATTCAAAGTCCATACAGGACAAAACTGAGCCATTTTATTTTGACAGCTGTGGCTTTTTAAAAAAAGCACAAAAATATGGTGAGAATAGAATACTAAAATAATATAGTTTCTTGATGGGACACAAGGCTTACACATTAATACTTACATTCTTTACATTTTAGAGACATCATCTAATTCAAGGCACAGACTGTACTTCTCCTGCCCTTCTTAAAGAGAATATTAATGTCCAGAAACACACTGAACGCTAGTTTGCAGACTCAACGTCTTCTAGGTATTTTGTAGGCCTTTAGAGACTTCTTAAAAGATCTGAGGAATCCCAGATAAAGTGGTTATGTGAAAAGCTTTCTCCGCTAGACAACTGGATATTCTGGTCGACACCAGCTACCACGCTTGCTTGTAGTGCTCACATTTTCCAAAGCATTTGGGTTTGGCTGGTGCTGGTGAAGGTCGGACATGGTGGTGTTTGCATGGACATCTGGACAGAGTCCGCATTCGGTGCTCTGGTATGGCTTCTCTGTTCTTTTTTTGGTCTCCCAAGAAGTTTGCTCTGGTGCTAGACTGGATGCAGGTAGGAGTTGCCTGAGAGTGTTGAAGGGGAAGCATGAGAAAATTTATCTCCATATGTCATCTTTCTTCAGTACAGGTTATAATTTAATTCTTATCTACACCAGTTCCAATGTAGGGCGAGCACGACACACTTGGTAGCTTTCTGTTTGTGCTGCAGCTTGTAGGTAAGTATTTGAGGACCTGTTAGGATCAATCTGGATCTCTCTTGAAGGACTTCCACTCTTGGGTGAAGATTGCTTTTCAGATGATGAAGAAACTTAGCAAATGTTTTCCTCAGAGCAGAGGTGGTATTGTCTGAGGGCCTGGCTGTGTAAATTCAGTCCACTTTCCATGGCTACAGGTTGATGTGCAGTACAATGACGTCTCATCATTTACAGGGCCTCATTTTTAAGTAAGATGGTGGTGGCTGATCCTTCAACATGCTGACATTGTGTGACAGAGGCTGCAGAATACATAGCTATGTTTCATGAAAGGTTTCAGTCCAGAAGATGGCTCCTGTGACTTCAGTTTGCTGGTGCAGTTATCTAAACACTGTCTCCCTTCCTGCTTGTGATGGATGAAAGGCTGCTATACTGGGGCCATCTTCAAGCTTCCATCTGTCGAAAATGAAGTTGCAGCAAGATTCTACACTGAAAACCTTGCTGGCAATCTCAAATAAAAGCTGTAATGCTGACACAAGCAGGAGTGCTCAAATAGCTCTGACCAGAAAATTTTACCAGGATGTCACCGAGGTCCCAGACACATGACGTTTCCTGAGTGCTTTCCAGAAATCTTGCTCTTAGTCTGCCCCACCATCACAACTGCCTCCAAAAGAGCACAATAAGATTTTGAGTAACCATGGTGTCACAGTCTGGCCCACATCTTCTTCTCTTCTGAAGCAGGGCATGAATTCATCATGTGCCAACTAAGGGGATGCCCGGGTCTGGCTCACATGTTGTTTGCGTTACCAATTTTGGTATTGGACCTGTGACTGGGTGGAGAGTGGCACCACTTTCAAAGGGGGTGAGCAGGCCATCATGAGACACACAAACTGGTAGTGACTGCCAACTGTCTGGGAAAATGTGCTGGAGCAAGACTCAGCAAAAAAAGTCTTCCTGATTTCCCGAGTTACACATAACTCAGCATTTTCCTAAAACAGATGAAATAAGCGCTCAGGTGCTTACAGATTACTTATGGCTGATAGCAAGCAAGAAGCAATTCCTCACCTCTGCCTTTGGAGATCATCTCATCTTTTCTTTGGGGCTAGGCCCCTGGGCTGGTTCCTAACTCCTGCCCTTCATTTTCTTGCAGATGGCCCAGCTTTCCCTCCAAGTGTTCACACGTGCCCTGTTACATATATCTTACACGCTGGTGATAGCATTTAGAAAGAAGTGTTCTTTCTGGATATTTTTATGGTTTATTTTTATAGCTTTTTATGGTTTATTTGTATTGCAAATCATCAACTGCTTTCTGACTGCCAAATAGTTGTATGCAGGTAGGAGGGTATAAAGAGCGATAAACCAAGCACACTAGCTTACTCGTAAGGCTGCGAGGAGAACTTGAGAGAATACTTTAACTGATAATTGTTGTGCTAATAGTTTCTGAACAGTGGGACTAGCTGGGTGGCTGCTTTTACTGGATGACACCACTTCCGTTATGAGACCAAAATTAAAAAGTCCTATCTGGCCTGCTCATGGCTGTGAATTAGACAACGTGTATTGTGGAAGCTCACACTTTTTTGCTCATAGAGAAGGTCTGATCATAGCCGCTCCACAATAGATAAGTACTTTAACAGCAAAGGGGACTGGGAGAATGTTGCCTCCATGTCTGAGATCAGGAGACAGGGAAGTTGTAGTACAAAAGTTGGCAAAAGTGAGACAGTTTTTCTGGCCAACAAGTTCCAGGCAGTGCTAGCGAAGAGGAGCGTTCCTCACTGGAGCAGCCTACACCATACGAGTGGTGTTCTGGGGCCGTATGCACAGAAGGAAGACTCCTAGGTTTTGTTTCATGGGAAAATCCCCGGTTTCTGGAAAAGCAGAAGAAAAATGAGTTTTGTGGGCTTGCCATCAGAACTATACTATTTAGTGAGGACTGCCACTACCAGTCTGCTCAAGAAAGAATTGCCATCTATAACCCAAAGGCAAGGCTTCCTGAAGGTTCTCAGAGTGCTCCCTGATGGACAACAGATTCCCTAACCTTCCCAGCACATACAGGCACACTGGGGGAGGCATTTGGCAGCACTTTCCAAGCATGGAAACCACCAACCCTTCTCAGTGGGAGTCAGAGGACACATTGAACAAGGAAAGTAGGATTCTGACCGAGAAAAGGAAGACTCCCAGCCTGGAAAGCCAATGCTGAACTGCAAGCTGAACCCACTCCATCCCTCGGTTCCGGATGCAAAGCCTTGCAGAGTGCTTGATACCAGCCCCTGCCAACTGAGCTTGGGAAGTCTTTGTCAAAGAAGAGAGTTTGGAGAAGCTCCGTATTCCTCATGGATTTATCACGAGAACCTGAGGCAGATCAGACACTTGGGACATGGGGGAGTCCCTTCTGCAAGAGGCATAGCCACAGGGGTAAAAGAATAAGTGCAGCCCTGCTATAGCCTGGAGGCAGTCCTGTTCCAGTACAGTAGACAAATAGGAACTAAAGAGCTACCTCTAATCACCTGACAATTCATAACCCAACTGGCTTGCCTAGAGTAACACATATGAGTAGTTATTTGCCAATGCATTTCCAAATGGCTTCTCCTGTTTTCAAATCAACTAGTATGGGAATCTCAAGAATATAAAACCTGCTCCAAGCGCACCGTACTGCTCTCTGTCAAGAGAAACAGGAAAGAGAGTTAGAGTTCTTCAGTTATACCGACACACACACAAAAAGAACAAGTGATGCTGGGTTATCTTTCTTTGAAAAATAATCTGGAAGGAAAAGATTATCAGGACAAAATGATAGTTCCTCTGAGAGGAAAGATTGTCAGCATGTAAATCCCCTTTTTATTTTTAAATAAGATGACACAGTCTCTAAAAAGTAGACAATAGGAAAACTGAAACGCTTTCAATGCCGGACAGCTGACAGCAGAGAATAATCCAATTTCTCTTTTCTTTTTTTTACATAGAAAGAGAGGAAGCATTTTTCACTCCCATGGAAAAAAATGTGTTGCAACTTTATCCTGTGCCCTTTCTACGTCACGGCAATCTGAGCTTCCTACATTGACAACATATGATCTGGTCAATCATTTCCCACAGAAGAAAAACATGCCATTCAGCATGAAGCATCAGAATGAACTTTTCCCCCAGGATTGCTGATCTTACGCTTACACCTACTCCAGCCCAACTCCATAATAATAAAAAAAGGACTAATTTTAGCCCTGCATAGGAGGACAGCACAGCTTTCTGAGTGGTGTGAGCAGTTGCATGTCTCCCTTTAGCACGAGAACCTTATTACGGAAGTATCAGTGTGGCAATTACAGTCAAACAGTTTACTGCCAAATCACCAGGCCAGGGTTATCAAATGTGCTCCCACGCAGAGTGGCTGTGTCTTGGCAAAACACTCCGCCTAATTCCTGCTCTGAAAATGGATCACCATTTAACCAGTAACTGA